AGCAATATGGGGTCATGCTGAAGACTAACACAGCTGTAGTTGCTCTTGCAATGCAAAATTTTCGTCTAAGACTTCCAGATCTAGACTGCACCTAGGAGTTGGCCAAGAAAGCGAGAGCAAAGACAGTCTTAACTTCTGCTAGATCTTTTCCTATGAGCAGTTGAGTGTGACACATCCCTGGTTGTGGTCAGGAGACCTGTGTGAGGGTGTTTTTCTCAGCAAGTGGCACTGTGGAGCAGTGGCTGTTGCCTTCCAACAAGGGATGGAGCAGTGGCAGTGCCTTGGGACATGGGCTGGTGGGTATGAAATGCTGGGCAGTGGTGTCCTGCTGCATGCCCAGCTCCCATGAGGTGGATAGCAATGCCTGCGGCTCTTGAGATGAAGCTGTGGGAATTGGTGAAGTGATGGTGAGGGAGTAGAGCAAGGCAATTGCTGTTGGAGCTGGGACTGGGGTCTGCCTTGGCTACTCTCTTGGGGTAGCAGTGGCAGAGATGCCCCCCAACACAGGGGATGTCCCTTGCAGTCCCAATACTTTAGCCCAGGCTAAAGTAAAGCAGTTAAAAGCCCCAGTGCCTGCTGCTGTGAGTGTGAAGGGAGAGATCCAGGGGTTTTGAGGTGGGGTTTGGAAGTGGAACATTTTGAACTGATTTCCAGCCAGTTCCTGGCTGCAGCAAACAGCTGAGCGCTGAGCACATAACTGGGAGCTTGTTGAGGTTTCTGCTCCCGAGGCTGGCTGCAGAGCCTCAGCGGAGCTTTTGCAGAGGCGAGACAGGCTTGAGAAACAGAGGAAATCCAAGGGCTGACTTAGGACACAGACTGGCTTATTCACCGAGATTTCTGGGTTTTTCCATTGTTGCGATGAGGACTTAGCCAGCGCTGCTGAGCATGCTTCAGGCCATGTTATGCAAACAGCCTGGCAGCCCATGCTCTGGTCAGCAGCTGTCAGTCTGTGTGATGTTTTCATCGCATGACTAATTTGGGGGAGAAAAGGGTCTTCTGGGGTGTGAATGCAGGTTCTGGCAAGCCTGTGGGGCAGATGGGGTTGGCCGAATGATGATGTAATGTGGGACTGCGGTGCAAACCAGGCCATTTCAGTTTTCCAGTGTTTGTCAGCCCTGAGGCACAACACCCGACTGCCGTGCAGCTGGGGCCTTGCCGCTCACCTCTGCACCGGGCACTTCTCCTGCATCTGCTCCGGGGAGATGCTCCAACCATGGGAGCTCCAGGCTCTGGCAGGAGGAACCTCCTGCAGGACTCGCTGCTGCAGTTACTGCAGGTTTTAAAAATTCTTTGATCAAAACAATGGTATTTCTGCTTATGTCTGGTTCAGTAGACACCACAATGGTAATGCATGTGCTTTGGTCTCTGGACACTCTTTGAGTGTCTTGGCCAGGGCCTTTGGGACAGTGAAAGAGGAGGCAAACAGAAAAACCCTCTGTGTTTTCCTTCTTTGCTGCTCCAGGACTGAGAATATCCCTTAAGTGTGTGCTGCTTGTAAAGCTCAGACAGGGAGTAGGGTGAATGATTGGAAAAGAAAAAAAAAATCACCTCTAAAGCATCATCTTCTATCCACAGATTGATTGATTGATTGATTGTTTTCTCTGAGCAGCTTCAACAACCCTAGTCTTACTTGTAACAATTTGATGAACAATTCCAGCTATACTGTGCAAGAGCAACTGATGAGTGAGATTTAGGCTCCAGCCTGTTTCTGCTGGACACTGGAGCTAGGCAGCTCTCTGTGCTCCCTCCCTGAGTACAGCTGATGGCTGATACTTGATTTTCCCATCCCCTTGCAAAAAATACCAGCTTACCACTTCTGCAGAGATTTCTGCCAGCATGGGTCAGATCGGAGCAAAAATGCTGGTGAGGGCCTTGCAAACTCCATCCATAAATACACCCCGACCATATGTATTTCTGGAACAAGACCCTTTTCAGAGGTTAAACTGCCTAAACCTCAAACCACCTTCTCATCTTTCTTCCTCTGAGGATAAATTTCCCTTTCTTCCACCCTTTATCTGTTTGCTGGCCAAGAGTGCAGATTCTGGGGGACAGGGCCACTCTTCCTGGAGGGATGCGTGTGTTGTGGCTGCAGTGGGCAGGCTGCGGACACAGACCCATAGTTTCCTGGTGAAGATGCCATGATGTAGCTGCCACGATGCTGGTGCAAGGTGGGAAGGTGTCCCTACCCCGAGGGCTCCTAGTTATCCCAGTGCCTGTGGCAGAGGTGGATCCTGAGTTATTTCTATCTCATGGTGGGGGGGCAGCAGGGCAGTGCTACTCAGGGAAAGGTGTCTGCTGCTCAGCTCTGTGTCTCCAGGCACAAATGTTGAATAAAAGGAAGTTCTTTCCCCTAATGTTTTTTGATTTCCATGCCTCGGTGAGCACATTCCTGTGGTGGGAGCTGGTTGGCATCTGCCACAGCTGGCACCTCGCCCCCGGGCTCCTGGCTGTTTGTGTTTTAAGCTGCTCGCTGGCGGGGTCTGGCCTTCTCACACTTGGTTTTGCAGCCCTTGACTGGTCACTGATCCTCAAAAGCTTGCCTGGGTCCCACTGGTGGGTGGCTCGCAGTCTGGTGGTGACAATAGCAGCAGTGTCAGTGTTCCCTGTGCTGCGGTGGGGGACCGCAGTGCGCTGGGTCCCGTCCAGCCCCCAGCCTCACAGGTCTCCTGGGGCTGGAGCTGCTAGGACTTCGCAGAAGAGGCAGGATTATCCTGCCATCCTCTCTTTCTTAATTGATTAACGGTTCTGCAAACACTCCCAGTGCCTGCTAATTTGCAGATGCTGGACTCCCCTCCTCTCACTCTTGGAGGCATTGTGGGCTAAGCAAATAAATACAGTTTCTGAAGCGGTGTAAATATAGACTTGGGGTTTCTTTGGTGTTGCAGGTCAGAGCTGTTTTGATACAAGATTGGAGATGGTCTTTTCCATGTTTAATCTATTTTTGTTAGTATTGACAATTCTGGCATATTAAGACAGCTGCACATGCAGTTAAAATATTCCATTGTTCACTTAAACTCGATTTTGTAGCTTTTAAGAGGATCCAGATCTGGTTTTGTGTGTTGATGCGTGCTGGCAATCCCCTTCCTGAAGTGGCACTGGTATAGCTGGTCTTGGTGTCCAGGCTGGAGGTGAGGGCCCAGGCAGTCTGGGGGGGTGCTCTGGGGTGCAGTTGCTGCCCCCCCATTTGCATCCCATGCAGCACCAGCCCTTGTGGAGTTGAGTCCCTGGCCCTGGGTGCTGGGGAGGAGCAGGGTGGGAGAAGGCACAAGCTCTGCAGTGCCCCAGGATATTGTCCCAGGCACGGAGCACCCTCCAGGTGGTATTTGAGGAGCCCTGGTGGGTGGGCATGGGGAGGCCCAGAGGGTCTCCTCGGTCTCAGCCCCCACTTTTAGGCAGTACCTGAGAAATCCTTGGCTTTTGGCAATGGGCATATATCCCACCAGCAACAGTGGCATCTGGGGCTCTGAGTTCAGACCCAAGTTATCACCTCTATTTGATATGCTTGAAGGGTTCCCTTCACCGTGGTGGCGGGGCCCAGGCTGCTTGTTGAGCTGGAGGAGGTGGTGGGTGCACCTCCTTCCTTCTGATGGTTTTCTTCCACTGTAGCATGGCCTCCACCCATTGATACATCGCCAGTTTGGCTCCCCATTGATGTCCACCCACCCTTCCCCTCTGCCTGATCCCAGCAGCTGCTGAGTGATGCTCTTGGCCTCTCCTGTGGAGCTCACCCAGCCCTTGCTGCCTCTCCCATGTCCATGCTGCGAGGCACCAGGCATCCCCTAGCATCCCACGGCTCTGCCCAGGGCTGCTGCCCTCCCCACGGCTCTCGCAGGCTCTGAAGAAGAGGGGAGGTTTCTTCCCTTGCAGAACACAACCAACCCATGCAGGACTTCTGACTTTCTCAAATGCTCTCCAGTCAGGAGTCCCCCTGCTTTCAAAATGGGAAATCATCTCCCCTCGGTGACAACTTAAACCTCCTCATCCCACCTCATTTTTAGGAAGGACCTGATGAGTAGGTGGTTTCAGTGGCTGCAGAAGCAAGGAGATGGTGCTGTGAGAACATTTAAAATGCAGCATGGAAGCAAGATCCTGGACTCCCAGCCATGTCTGCAGTGGGAGCTGAGCTCTCAAAAACTGTGAAGATTGTACCTTTGCCCCTTGGTTTTTGCCAGGTTTCCTTCTCCAGCAGCTTTGAGCGTTTGGGTAGCCCCAAACCAGTGGTTTTCCACCCTTGAAATACTCTTAATTTCTGCATGTTTCCTCACACTTTTTCCTTTTAATTCTGTTTTTTCCAAAAGCATTGGCACCCAGCAGCAGGGAGGACAGCATTAGTGACATAGCAAAGAACTTTTATCAAGCTGTGGATAAACCAGTAAGTAACTGCACGTGCCTTTGCTGGTTGCCACTGCCCAG